TGTTTAAACACACTTTTCCATAAAGCTTTCAATAGGAAATGTTCCAGTAAACATGTCTGTGTTTCTGCTGTTTTCCTTTCATGTGTCCACAGCTGACAGGTAACCCTACAGAAGTTGCCATAGTGACGGGTGGCATCTCAGCTTCAGCGTGTTGATGGGCACAGCCATTGTTACCACAGCTGGAGTTGGTATATGCCGAGCTGTGAGAGGACAGAGATGGAGAAAGGACATTTAACTATTTAACAGGAGTTACGTTACGACTAACAGACGACTGCTGTTTAAAGGATGTCTTTGCAGCCCTTATGCTACATGTTACACAACTTTTCTTCATGCCAACAAGACTGAGGTGCCACATAGTTGACACCTACAACTGATTATGATGCATATTTTACTATTCCTATGTTCACATCATCTCCTTGGCTTTATTATTGAAAGCCTGGAGATACTCTGACTTGTGCATGGCTGATGTGAAGTATGATTAGTCCTACATGACTCACACCATCAACAACAGAGGCAATGAAAGCTTTGTTGTTAACAGGTTGGATGGTAAAGTCAAATGTCTACTTCTACACTTGTGTTGGGTAAAGTTATTCTCACTGTAGCAGATTTATATCTGTGGTTTCACAGGGCGTGATGTGGAGCTCAGCGCTGAGGTGCAGTTCTCCTTGGAGACTGGCATCCTGGCTGAAAATATTATCACGCTTCCAAAACACTTTCAGCTTTTATTTTGAAAGAAAACAAACTTGAAAACGAATCCCCTTATTCCTCTTTTTATTTGTTCTTCAGAGGAGTGTCACCAGGAAAAAACTCAGGGCTATTCTAGGGTCTTTGTTATTATTTGACTCCATATAAATAAAACTGAATTGAATCAAACCATTTGCTGGCAAACAAAAACTCCGAAACAGCTAAAATACTTTACTTTATTCTCTTTTTTAACAAATAGATTGAAGTACATCCATAACAACACAGTTGAGATCTGTATACAAAACAATCATTTATGCCCCATAGAAGTCTAGTTACACTTAAGTATACAAGAACTCGTAAATGAAAGAAACATAAAACACATGATCACAGGTGATAACAAAAAAAGAGAAAGAATTTATGTGTTAGTGATGTTTTTGCAGCCCTAATGGCTCATGTTGGAGAAAAAAACTGAGGTACGTGGAAAGTTCACATACAGAAGTCGGCGTGAGCGCACACAAAGAGAAAAACACAACTGAACCATCTGGTATGTTTGCTGTTTCTGCTTTCATCATTTCATTTCTGCTGCTTTGTCAGGCTGGGGGCATCTCAGTGATGTGGTTGAGGTGAAGTATGACGAGTATCCCTGATTTATTCCATCAAGACAAAGGGGAAAGAAAGCTATATTGTTAACAAACTCTATGGTAATATGGCATTTAGCTCTGATTCTACGCTCTGCTGAATCCTTTTAACCTGTTCTGCTGATCAGTAAAGCTATACGTGCTGCAGCAGACTGACCTCATCTGTTTTCACAGGTGGGACCTCAGCGCTGAGGTGCAGGAGAATTGCATTCAGTTCTCCCTGCAAACCAGCATCCAGCCTGAAAATATTGTGATCTTTCCCAGAAATGGTGCTCTTATCTCAGAGAAGAAGTTTGATGTAAATAATTTTTACATCAAAGGATTAAAGCCAAGAAGGCAGCGGGCCCAGATGGCATCAGCTCAAGGGTGGTCAGGTCCTGTGCAGACCTACTGTGTGGGGTGATGATGGAGCACCTCTTCAGCCTGAGCCTGAGGCTGGGTAGAGTCCCACAGCTCTGGAAAACCTCCTGTGTTGTACCAGTGCCAAAGACTTCACGCCCCAAGGACCTC